TGAGCGTGGTCACCTCATGGCTGCTGCTGTGTTGCAATATTTTCAGGGAGGGCTTATTTTTGGAGGAGGACTTATTTTAGCGTATGCGCACAAAAGCCTAATTGGGTTTATTATCTGGGGAAGTCTTATTTTCTGGGAAACAGGATAGGTTTTTGTTCATTTGAGGCCTTCAAGTCATTAAACTGGAGAACCTGGACAATTCCCTGTAGTTTTCTAAGCAAGATTTCAAAAATGGTTTACCGTTGCCTCTTTTCCAAAGCTGAGCAAAGTGATTGGCTCAGCCCTGGAAATCATTCAGCTGGCTTTGTTATCTAAGGCAGCAGTCCCCAACCTTTGCAGCTTGGCAGCCTGGTTTTGGGATGGGGGTGGGGAGAGGGGAACTGGGCTGCACAAGTGGCAGACTGGCACGCATGCACACAGTTTGGCTTGTGTGAATGACAAGTGGTGTGCACATGTGTGCATGCACGCTGCTTGCATGGTCTGGTTCCAAATAGGCCACAACCCGACAGTGGATCACAGCCTGGGGTTGGGTACCCCTGCTCTAAGGGGAGTCCTGAACTCATGGTCTCCCAGTTTCTCGTCTGATGCCTTAACCATTAAACCAAATTGGTTCTCTGAAGTGTAGCTTAAATGAATTCATCTCAAAAGTAACTCAGGCATCTGTTCTGATCTAGGCTTCCTGAGACAGTAAAAAGCACATGCTTAGTCCCCCTCTTTTTAGTTCAACAGCTGTGAATTATGTTCATTCACAGCCTGTAATGAGTCACAAATAGTTTGTAAAGAGTCCGACAGAAGTCTGCCAAAGTCTTTCTGGATAAGGCTGATAAGCATCCACCTATATTTCCCTTGACATGCTGCCAAAGACCTAATTGGCAAGTAGCTTTGCAAGGCCACAGGATGCACAGTCAAACCGAGCTTCAGACTGTAAACCAACTAGAACGAACAAAGTTGCGTCCTGCAAAGGCTCATGTGCCTTTGCTCCTCCTTTATGTCTTATGGGAGGAGCCAATAATCTCCAAGCCTAACTCCTGAGGTGTTACTTTTGTCTTAACTGTTCTTGCCTTCTGGCAGCTCTGTACATGCGTGCACTGGGAACAGGGTCCCCTGGTTCCTCTGCCTCGCTGATGTCCGACTCTGGAGGCTCCAGAGGAAGCATATAACTCCCAGATGGCCCTGGCCCCCTCTCTGCCTCCGATGCAGAGCCATCATCCGAGCCTTCCTCACTCCACGACTGGCCCATGCTCCTCCCCAACCTCCTCACTGTCCGATTCTGCTGCCAGCAGCACAGGCCTCTGGTGAACCACAACAGCATCATAGCCAAGTAAGTGAATAATTATTACTAGTGGTTTTCCCAGATTAATAGCTTAGCTAGTAATAATTAAAGAAGACATTTTTAAAAACTTTATTAAAGAGTCCATATTTAACTTTAAAACCTTTATTAAAGAGTAACTGTGAAAAATATTTTATGTGATATAACTTTTGAGAACATTAAAAAAGTGCATTAGCAATGATTTTGCAGCCGGGAGCCATATCCTCCCCCCACCCCACCCCTTCTTGACAGCAAACATGGTATTTAAAACTCCTCCTATTTTCTCCACAAAACAACCCTATAAGGTGTTTTGGGTTGATAGAGAGCAACTAGTGCAAAATCATCAAGCTGCCCAGTGTCCTGGTTTCTCTCCCCCCCTCCACCCCTTTTCGACCCTATAGTTCCTTAATACAGGGTATAGTCAGGTAACTGGATGGAGCTGAGAGTTTACTGGCTGGATGCCCTTCCTGACACCTAGGTGGAGTTCATAGCAGATATTTTTACTTTGTGCCCTAGGAGTAAAGCATCTGCCTGCTACCTAGGATTGAAGTCTCAACCTTCCAAGTGGGAGGTGAGAGTGTTCACCACTAAGCCATCATAATTTCTTCTTTCTTCTCTCTTTTCTGTGTCATAAACTGTATATACATTAGCTTTATAAACTTTCAGCTGCATTTGCCATACATTTTAAAATGCCTCAATCTCTGACCTAAAAAAATGCAGAGCTTGACAGTTTTAGATCTTACCTGGTCTAAATGGCAAAATGTTTCTTTTAAGTGCTGGAGAAGAAGACAGTCTGTCTTCTTAACTAGCTGGCAATCTCTGTAAGGAAACCCAGCTCGTTGCATAAGCCAATAAAAACATCTCGATATGTCACAGCCACCATATGCAAGACGTAACCTTAAAAAAGAGGAAAGCCCACAGTTGTCAGAACATCTGCTTTTTCAGAAGCTATTTAACTTGAAAGAAATTTTAAAACATTTAGAAGAAAATAACATAGCCATGATTATTAATCCAATTATTTATTTGGTCCAATATGAATTTTGGTGTAGCAACATGGGGTACTAATCTTTGATTTTCCAATACAAAAGTTGCAGTGATTTTTAAGAATATTTAAGAAAGATTTTTTTTTAAAGTTACTTAAAAGGGCCTTATAAAATGCAGTTAATCCTCGATTTACAACATGAGCTTAGTCCTGCATTTAAGAATGTAAATCATGAGGGTTATCAAGTGGATTACTAGACCTAATTTTATTATCATTTTTGCAGCCGTTGTTAAGTAAACCAATTGTTCACTGGCTTTTGCCGGAAACCAGAAGTAAACACTGGATTCTGGCAAAAAATATAAATCACAGTCATGTGACAGCAGGGCCCTGCACATGCCCATAAATGCAGCCTGGTTGCAAGGGCCCAAAATGCAGTCACATGAAGGACAATGTTGGATCTTCAAAATGGATTAGTAATTTTGGGGAGGTCCACTGACACTTCAAACAGACACCAGACAACTGGTTATAAATTACGACTCCTTTGGCCTGGACTAATGTTACATTTTATTTAAAATATTAAACGTCTGTAAAATGTTTGTTCCCAACTTTTGATTGTTACCTGGTGTTATGATGTGAAACCCCATCTTCAACACAGCAGATGCTTGTCTTCTGATCCCCCACATCAACAACACATGCACTGCCTAAACCACTTCCAAAAGTAGCACATACAGATTCTTGATGCACTATTATTCCTAAAAACAAAAGGATGCCGTAACTGCTATATACTATTTCTATTGTACAAAGACACCTTTGCACTTGTCGTACACTGCAGAATAATGTACAAATCCCATTTTATAAAACTCTCATGTGTCATTGTCAAAGAAATTAGAAAGGTGCTTGACTCCTCCTGTGTTTTTTGCCTATTGGTCAACTTACCCAGGAAAACTATCTGTATTTCACCATTCCTTATTTTCCAACTAACCACCAACATTTATATAAACTTTGGCTTTCAAAGTATAACTTGTTAAAAAAGGATGTGTCTTTTAGGTCTAAGGCTGCCTTTCTCCTCTATTCTTGGAAATAGATTTGAAAATCACGTTCAGGATTTGTGTGTGTGTGTGTGTGCGTGTGCGCGCACACAATACAACTCAACTAATTTAAGGCTGAGGAATAAAACTGAGATAACCTAACTCATGAAACAAGTTGTATATTTAAGAGGTGGGTTGCTCCCAGTTCGGCCTGGGTGATGTGGTGATTGGCCTGGGTCGTAGAATCGGCAGCGACCCAGGCTTCCCATGCCCCTGAACTGATTCCCCGGTCTTTTCTGCCATTTCCGGCTTGTTTCTGCACATGCGCAAAACAATTTACAGTCAAGTGCACATGCGCGAGCAACGTGTGGCATGCACACGAAGCGAACCGGTATTAACTGGTACAGGAACCCACCCCTGGTATATTTGTATGCCTCTTCCAGCTGCTAGAACATTTGGGCTAACTTTGCTTCTAAGTCTGTGGTTGCTTAAGACTTCTGCATGTGGGACATCAGCTTAGGGTGCCCAAAGGATGGAACTGGCTCAATCCTTTCCCCATTTATTAAAGACAAAAAGGAACTCTGAGTCTCTTGATATTCATGGCCCTCTCACCTACAGACAGAGTTGGTTGGTTAGTACATAGTATAAATTGCTTTTATGGCAGAGTCCTGCTACCCTGAAACCAAGAGATAAACTAAGAGGGAAAGTGAAACATAGTGTTTGACAAATAAAAAAATTATAATTAGGGAGGAAACAGGTGATTTCCCCTTATAAATCTTATAAAGTGTAGGAGAGAAAAGGTCAATGCATGGGGAGGGGCCAAAGGGGGGCTTACTCTAGAATCCCTATGTGGGCACAAGAGGTCAAAGTCCAACACCACCCATCCATGAATGCCCTTGAACCTTTGCAAACTTTCAAGTCTAAGAAGATTGTTTTATGAGCAATAAAACAGCTAAATGAACTCTTCAACTCCTCAGTGGTTTCTTAAGAAATTGCTATTGGAATGTAGAATGTACTTCAGATTTATTTTTTTGGGTAATGTAAGTAAATAATAAGAAGACTTATGTCAGTGAAAAAAAAGGTTTACACTGCCTACACATACTCTAGATAGGTTTAAATCAATATCATTCCATCTTTGTAGCCAGACTTGCATCTCAGTTTGGCAGCTGAAAATGATGGATTTATCACTAGATGAACGCATGGCAGGAATCACAAAGATAATTCAAATTCACAAAACAATTGGGACTGAAGTGCATAAATTAATTTAAAACATCACGGTAGCAGTTTATAGTGATTTATTTACCTGAAAAGCCCATTTTCAAGAGAGTCATATTTACTATTTCTTTCACATGCTGCTTATTATAGATGTCGGGAATTAGTAAAATACATCTGTAATACTGAACAAAGGGGAAAAAAGAGACTTGTCATGTGACAGAATGACCATCCCATTTGACAATTAAGTAACAAAAGGCATTTGAAATATCCTACGTTTATTTTTTGGTAAATGCTAATGTCAGCATTTAAATAAATAAAATAATTTAGATAGCCAGGAAATAAAATAATTTAGATAGCCAGGTCAGTCTAGTTGGTGATGATTGGAATGTGTGTCAGAGGTGGGTTGCTCCCTGTTTGGCCCAGATTGGGCAAATCAGTAGTGGCGGCAGCGGGAGGCTCCGCCCACCCACTTCTGTGCATGCGCAAAGCTTTTGTGCATGTGCAGAAGCATCACACGTGTGCGAACCAGTAGTAAAAACAATGGCAACCGACCACTGATATGTGTTTGTGTGTGGGGAGATCCAGCTGGGAGTCTCTCCTTTGTGGGATATTGCAGGGCTCAGTATTCAGAAGAGTTTAACTCTTCAGTTAAACAGAAGAGAGAATACTCTCTTCTGTTTAACATCTACATGAAGTCATTGGGTGAATCATCCAACTGTTTGGGAGCAGATATAATCAATATGCTAATGATACTCAGCTATATATCTCCCCCCCCCATCCCACCAACTGCCTGAATTGCAAAATGGTGGCTCCATCTCATTGTGCTGAGGCTGTCAAGGCCAGATGGGGTACACTAGGCTTTAGTTTAACTCAAGCAAGATGGTGTATGTGTTTTTGCTATGCTATGTATTCTGTATACTATTTGTTTTATTGTAGGCCACTTAACAGTCATATATTGAAATTATATACATATACAGAAATCAAATAAATTATTATTATAGATAATCTAGAGGATGGCACTATGTAAGAAAGTGAACATGGTATGTGACCTCAGGGTATATTAATGGTAGTAATACAGGTAGTCCTTGACTTACGATCACAATTCAGCCCAAAATTTATGTTGTTAAGTGAGACATAAGTGAGTTTCGCCCCATTTTACGACCTTTCTTGCCTCAGTTTTAAGTGAATCACTGCAGCTGATAATTTAGTGACCTTGTTGTTAAGTGAATCTGGCTTCCTCATTGACTTTGCTTGTCAGAGGTTCGCAAAATGGGACCACACAACCCTGGAACACAGCAACGGTCATGAGTATGAAGCAGTGGCCGGGCATCTGAATGTTAATCACATGATCATGGGGATGCTACAAAGGCTGCAACTGTGAAAAATGATCATAAGTCACTTTTGTTCAGTTTTGTTGTTATAACTTTAAACAGTCACTAAAGGAACTGTTGTAAGTCGAGGACTGACTGACATTGTTACATTCATTTGATTCACCTTCAAATCCTTCAGAGATATTTCTAGATATTTCTGAATTGCATGCGACCAAATGTCCTCAAGATCAGCAAGAACTGCAGTAAGGGAGCCGCCAGGTCCTAGGTGGAGGTTCAGCTGTCCCCGCCGAATAGGCCAATGAACATTGTAACTGTCCAGAGGATTAACATATAATGCCTGAAAAGGATAGAAAGAAACAAGCAAAACACAATTTCTATTAACTAGGAACAGTTTTAATTCTGATGGTGTTATCATATGTAATATTAACTTTCATATTTACATTTTAATATTAAGGATTTACTTACTATTAAGTTCATTCACCGCCCATCTCTCTCCTGCAACTCTAAATATAAATTTAAAAAATTCATGCAAAATTTAATCACAAATATTTTGTATTTACACATATCATACTAGGGTAAATATGGCAGACTGTCAATTTGAGGCTGCAGCTGATGTGGGAAGGGGCCAGAGTCAATATGGATTGAAAACACAATATTATGTACAGTTGCAAGAAAAAGTATGTGAACCCCTTGGGATTACGTGGAGTTTNTACAGATAGCTGAAACAAGTTTACTTTATAAACTACAAGTATTAGCTGAAAAAGCATGCTTATGTTATAACCACCATATGTAGTTGAGAAGCCCTGATCTGACTATATTCTCATCCTAATAACCTGATACTTTCTGCTGGTCTACACTATCCTTAGTCAACATAGCAATAGTAATAGTACTTAGATTTATATTCCTCTTCATAGTGCTTTTACATCCCTCTCTAAGCGGTTTACAGAGTCAGCATGTTGCCCACAACAATCTGGGTCCTCATTTTACCGACCTCGGAAGGATGGAAGGCTAAGTCAACCTTGAGCCAGTGAGATTTGAACTGCCGAACTGTAGCTAGCAGTCAGCTGAAGTACCCTGCAGTGCTGCACTCTAACCACTGCACTACCTCCACTCTTTAACATAACTATGGGCACACAAAAATTCTAGTCCAACTTAGTGGGGAATGGCAAGTCATATGAAAAGAATTCATCTACCAATATTTTGGAAAGGAAGTGTTAAGTAAATAGAATGAGACATTGAGTTCATTGTATTGTATACGGGGGGGGGGGGGATCAAAAGGAGAGAGAAAGCCACGCACACACACCTGCTCTTGCTTACTTTGTGTAGCTAAGAGATAGTGTTCGTCATGGGGGTCCTCAGGATCACCTTGAGACCTGTGCTGTAAAACTATCATTTTCTGACCCACAATTCCAAACGTTGCTGGATAAAATAGTGCCATTGGAGCCTAATTGTGAAAGATAAGAATTTCAAATTATTGTCAATATTCATTTATAGATTCATCCATCCATTCTTCTTGCAGTTGGGTTACAATTAAATAACCTATGATTAAAGATTTCTCTCAGCAGAATATGTAGATCAAAATATTTAATATTTATTTTTCTAGTAAAAGGGGAAAGATTTGTACAATCTGAAGAGATTTTTTGGCTTCTTTTCTCTTATTTTCCTCCTATTTTATATTATAAACTAATAAAAGCACCCTCAAAATGAAATGGTTATTTTTTAGATTTACAGCCCACTTTTTGTAGAGGAGTTCAAGATGACATAAACTTTTATGCACCTCTACAGATGCAGTAGAGGAATTCTGTGGTAAACTGAAGGAAGTAATTCAAGACTAAGAATGTATGAATTATTGGCAATAATTAATTGACTCTCAAAAGCTGAAGATATAGAGGAACTGGAACCACAGTATTATTTTGTCACAGTAATGAAGGATATCGTAAATCCTCCTTTTTTGTGGCCAGCAAATCTCTCTTGCATGCAAGCTATTCCCCTAAATGAAGAATACTGGGCAAGAAGACATTTTTTTCTAATTAGTCAGAAGAGAGCTATGTTCCCATTACTTCCCAAGAAAAATTATTTTAATGTTTTTCTAAAAATCCAAATATAGTCCTTGGCCAAATTACCCACAGTTTACGGTGGATAGTAGGTAGCACAGAGTTCATCATGGGACTACCATCCAATGTGATCTTGCTACCCTGGAATAATAAACAAGAGTACAGTAGCAGTTTCCAAGTTCTCACTGTTTCCCATCGTCATAATATACAATGCTTGAACCAATGTAAAACAGATAGAAAGGAAATTTGTAATAGAACTTTTTTTAAATTTAAAGCGCAAAAGAAAATAAATGTTCTGTTTTGTTCAAAGTACTATAAGAGATGCATCTCACAGTCTTTTACCTGTAACTTTTCATCTCCTAAGCGCAACTGATACAACAAAGCTGGAGAATCTGGATGGCGGACTTGAAACTCATGATCTTTCAGTCCAGATAAATCCTAATAATAAAAGAAAGTATAAGTATTTTATAGATTTAACGATGAGTGTATACTCTGAAGTAACACACTGAAGTGTTACTACTGTGACCCCCGAAATAAACACTTGGGCTTATATTTGGTGAGGTCTTATTATTTTTGAGGTGCAGTAGGCGGTGAGCGTGGTCACCTCATGGCTGCTGCTGTGTTGCAATATTTTCAGGGAGGGCTTATTTTTGGAGGAGGACTTATTTTAGCGTATGCGCACAAAAGCCTAATTGGGTTTATTATCTGGGGAAGTCTTATTTTCTGGGAAACAGGATAGGTTTTTGTTCATTTGAGGCCTTCAAGTCATTAAACTGGAGAACCTGGACAATTCCCTGTAGTTTTCTNGCTGAAAAAAGTGACTTATGACTGTTTTTCACACTTACAACCGTTGCAGCATCCCCATGGTCACATGATCTAAAATCAGATGCTTGGCAACTGGTTCATATTTCTACGGTTGCAATGTCCTTGGGTCAGATGATCTTCTTTTGTGACCTCCTGACAAGCAAAGTCAATGGGGAATCCAGAATCACTTAACATCCATATTACTAACTTATCAATCGCAGTGATTCATTTAACAACTATGGCAAGAAAGGCTGTAAAATGGGCCAAAATTCACTTAGCAAATATTTCTCTTGGCAACATAAATTTTGGGCTCAATTGTGATTGTAACTCAAGGACTCCCCGTATTTTGTTTTTTTAATTGGAGAGAGAGAACAGAAAGGAATACATTATGTACAAATGACCACTGCTCAATTACACATTATTTAAAAATATATAATATTTTGCCTATTTGGGTTTCCTGGTGAATACGTTTGCCTTTGACTTCCAAAGTTAGGAACATTTATTTGCCACTAGCACTATAAGCCACAATGGCCAGAGAAGCATAAAATAGAATAAAAAAATGAAAGAATAAAGAAGTAAAAAAAATATGTATAGACACTCCACAAAGGTTCCCCCCAAAAGGCAGAACAGAGTAGGAAGTAAATGAGAACGGCAGTGCTGAAACTGGGGAAAAGAATAACTTTTGATTGCATGATCTCTGCCTGTCCTTAATGGAGGGGAAGATTAATTGACTCTTGGATGACAATAGTCACAAAACCAATCAGACTTAATGAATACTGAGCTTGAAATTCTTTGAAAAATGTCACTGTTGTGCCTTTATTACATTTGCCTCCAAAAAGTTGTTTCAGAAAGTACGAAAGCATGAATGCTGTGTAAGTCTGCCAGTCTTTAAGTGGCGTTTTCTTTTCTTTAGACAGACATGGAATAGTCTGGAATAAAGATATTTATTTCAAACTATGGTTTTGGAGAACATTACCAGATCAAGCAACTTGTTGAGGAAATAATGAAGACCAACTGCCCCCTTGAGGCAACAACTGGAAAACAGAAATGTACATGCTTTGTGAATGTGATGTTTGTAGATGATTGATTAGAAGAAATGAATTATGCTTGGAAAGCTTCAGAGAAATAGAAGAAACCTAAGAATGGACAGGATGGATGGAAATGGTCAAAAGGGATGTTCTTGGAATCTCATTGCAGACAGAATGGAATCATTTATCCTTACTGGAAAAAGCATTTGCCTTCAAGCAAAGACAGTTTATGATTGCATAAAGTCAAAATAGACTTCTTAAAGTTGCATAGAGTTTAACAACTTTTAAATCAAAATTACACAAGTAACTTTAATGGAATGAGGAAAAAAGAAGCCCTACCTCTTCACCAACAACATATTCTGGGTGATGAGTAGTATTTGTCCATTTTGCTCCAGAGCTGTGATCTAAAATAGCAGGTCGCATTTGTCTGTTGTAAGATCGGATCTAGAATAAACGTTTAAAGAAATCACTTAAAAATAAAGAGTCATGCCATAGACAAAAAGTAATATTTATGCAGGGTTGTTCACTTGAATGCCAAGGTCATGTATATTCCTAAATATAGTCTAAACTATGGTGAGTAGATATTGACTGAGAATTGATTGTGAAATATGATAAAATACAGGATGGTCCTCACTTATGACCATCCTTCAGCAACTGTTCAAGTTTATGATAGTACTGAGCGAGAGGTGTTTATTACACATTCTCATATTTACAATGGTTGCAGTGTCCTGTGGTCACATGATCTCCATCTGCAACCTTCTACACTGCTTTTTAACAAGCAAAACTAATGGGCAAGCTGGTAGAAGGTTGGAAATGGTGACCATGTGTTGTCATGCTTCATGAAAGCACTGGATTTGCTTAAGAATGGCAACTAAAAGTCCTAGCACTTCCATTACTACGTAGTGTGATGATGTGATGGTGCACTTTATAATCATGTTTTTTAGTGTCGGAAATTCTTAGTCTCAATTACCGTTTATACATTATTACTGCTGCCTCACAATTAATTTTGGAGCCAAATTTGAAGTGCTGAAGTTAATCTATAAAATCCTTCACTGGTTGAGGCCGTAATATCTGAAACAGTATCAAATTAAACCACATATTCCAAAAGTCTATGTAAGCTACTAGGCACTACTTGAGAGAGATCTTTTTGACAATGATGCTAGTTCAACATACAGAATTCCACTTGGAACAGCTGTTTTAAGTCTTTGATCTCAAAAGTCTTTTCATTCAAAGATCTTTTTATTTATCTGTGATACTTAATATTTAATAGACTCTGTCTAAAGAGCTGAATTACTGCAAAGTTGATTTGATGACCATTTGTCTTCCTCTCAATGAGCTTTCAAATTTCATCAGACTTTACTGGTTCTCCTTAAAACTTGCTATTAGTATTAACAACAGTTTATAAACGAGGTACCTGATCAGGTGATATAGGTGTACGTCTGGCACCATTTGACATCTTCTTAGACCATATTGCTTGGTCAACCATTTTAAGCCCATTTTGTCTTTGTTCTGTACTTTCTGGTTTCTAAATAAAATCAGTCAGTAATTTAGATTGCTTCCAAGCCTAGAACTAATTATTTTATATCAGTATTTCAAAAACTAACAATATACAACCAACAAGCTATTAATTTTAAATCTATACCATTATATAAAAACTCAAACTTCCACATTTTGTATTTCATTTTATCCTCCATAAAATGACTGGTAAATTGATATCTAGGCTAAAAAAAAAGCAGGCAACAAATGAATGTCATTTTTCAATTCTTAAATTGAAATTTAAAAATTTGTTGATTTATAGATTTAGCAACTAAAAGCAAAAATGGTGATCTCTCCCAGATAAAGTAGGCCTTACCAGATGAAGAGGGGCTAATGATCATGTGGCCAGAACCAACACCTCCAGCTAAAGATGATGAAGATGGACTGGGCAACATTAGTTTGTCATCTCAGATTGCCCAAACCACTATAATAATTGCTGAAATGAACTGAGCCAAATGTTTATCCAGATGTGCCTGCTTCTGCTCTATAGCAGGGCTGAGACTTTGGGGTTGTGTGATGATTAAAGAATTGGAAGTTAACTCTTTAAAATGTAACTTCTGCTGTCAATAATTAAACTAACTGCAGGGTATATT